GCTGTGCATAGTTAACCCTGTTCTTTATTTAATGGTTGGTAGGAAGATGAGCTGTCATGTTTGAAAAGGGAACTGTCCTCCCTTAAGGAACAACTGAGAGCAGAAATGGAAGAAAAGGTGGAGTTTTTTATTCACTGAGCAGTGGGGGTGAGAGGTGTGGCCTGGGCTTTTGCTGTGGGAGGAGTTGGGTAAGAAATGAAACTGAACAGAAAAACAGTGACTTTGGAATGCTGGGGTTGTGCTAAATCTGGTCATAGATTTGTGTGAACTTTGTAACAGTCTGTGATTATAGATTATATATAAATAAACAAACAACAAAACAAAACTCTTCTTTATTTTAGTTAATTTTAACTAGTTAAGCAAAAAAGTTCCCTAAACTGTAGGATTTTTCAGTGACTTTTAAATGCTGAGGTTGTGCTAAATCTGGTCATATTTTTGTGTGAACTTTGTACAGTCTGTGATTATAGACTGTGCTCTGTAATCACACCAAGAAGATTTTTAACAACTGAATTCAAATCAATATTTCCTTGCTGTCACAAAACTCTTTTGTAGGAGAATCTTGTCAAAGAGCACTCTGGCAGTAAGATTCCTGAAAGTGAAAAGAAGCACAAGGTAACTTTAACTTTTTAATTGCTTTTAGAATTTGGTAGTGTTATATGTGTAGAATCAATTGAAGTGCCATGAGAATTTATTTGCATTCAGCAAAAGACATTGGAATGCTTTTGACTTAAAATTTTAAATTATAGAAAGTAAAAATTTATGTTCCTGGGATTCCTAAACCTTGTTTAGATCTATACAGTGAATCTATTCATGTAAAAAATAGAAGGTCTCCAAATTATATTCCTAACATTAAAAAAATAAAAATAATAATTAAAAATGCCTCCTTCAGTACAGGAAGCTCCTTGGGCAGTCCAACACTGATATTTTATAACTCCTAACCGTGAATTTTTCTTGTTGCATTTTTCTGCCTGTATTTCTTACTTCTCTGTAGATGATTTTTTTCCCCCCTGGGATAAGAAGGGATTTTAAAGGGTCACACCATTCCATGGAGATATTAGCCAGCAGTTTCTGGAAGGGCTCCCAGTGTGTAATTTTTCTTGCTCAGTTGTTGATTTTTTTCTGTCTCTAGAATTGTTTCACTTAGTCTTAAAAGTGTCCATTTGTAAAGGCACTTTTCCTCTATGGAAGAGAAAAAAGCTGATACAGCTGTAAGAATGGTCCAAGTATCAAAGTAGTCCTGACTGCAGAACTCACCCTTCTTCCCTGCCAGGAGTTCACTTGTGGTTTTCATATTGGAACAATGGAATCCAGCACCATTTTGATGTTATCTGTCAAAAAAAGGACTGCACTGGACCATTCAATGCTTCTCAGTTTAACTTCTAGTGAAAAGACTATTTTAAATAACACCAATCTTGATGTAGCTATCAATCTTTCTCTGAAAGCCTTTTCCTGCAGTTTTGTTTGTTCCCATTTTCTTTGATGTTTGATAGAGTCCAATGCAGTGGCTACAGTTCAGAATAGCCTGAATTTCTGCAGATAAGCATGGAGAACTTAAATACAATGTACCATGAAACTCAGCTCTTCCATAGCTTCCCCTTCATTCTCCTCATTTGGCAACAAAAATAATATAAAATATTATATTTCCACCCCTACCCACTTTGTTTGGGTCTTTGCTCCATGTTTGGATGGAAAGATCTGAGTTCCACCATTTCTGTCAGGTGAATTCTTGGGCACTCAGACTGTAAACTGGGTCCTGTGTTTGGCTTTAGATTCCACACTTAGCCCATAAAATATAATCTAAAACTAGAAACATTTTCTTTCCCAGACATATGTTATAAAGACTCCTCCAGTGGATAAAATGCAGAGTGGAAGAAGCACAAACCTGCCTGCAGGGCAGAGCAGCAGGAAAAAGCAGAAAGTGCTTGTGCAGCTGGACACTCAGTCAGACAGCTCTGAGCACACTGACCTCCTGGTAAGAGCCAGAGAACAAATCATGTGCTGAGCAGCTCTTTGTGCTCACTGCTGGGGCTGAGAATGGAAATAAAGAGTTTGGGCTTCCACATTCAAGCCAATATTTATCTGTATATTTTTAATTTATTGGTTCTTTCTGGAATTGTCATTGCATGTACATAATTAACATTCTTTTTATTGAACTGTTATAATGTTTGATTGAACTGCCTCATAATGACATCTTAATTTTTCTTTTTCAGAGTTTAATATCCTTAGGGGGAAAGAAAAAGTATTTTTAATATAGTGTGACTAAGTAACTTTTAATTTAACTTTTAACTTTTCATTTATTAGAGCATAGTCTCGGAAGAAGAAACGTTTAAAAATTTGTACAAGGATTATCCACATGCTTCACAATTACACTCCACAGCACCAAAAAAGGTATGTTAGCCTTTCCTAAGATTAAACCAAGCAGTTAATCAGATTGCTTACAGAAACTAAAGGATGGCTTTATTTTCCTTCCTAGAGCCCAGCTCCATGCAGTGTGAAATCTCCAGGCTCTGCTCTGAAACTCAAAACCATGAGGAGAATGCGCCAGGCGGGCTGGGCTACGCTCTCCAAAATGGACAGGAAAAGGAAAACTAAAGTTGCTGTAAAGCTCTTTGCTTAAAATGCAGAAATACCCAGTGCCCTGGCATTGCTTGCAGGGTTGTTTTTCTCTCAGAGTTAGTGCTTTGTTGCATTTTTCTGTCATACTCAGTGTGTTTAATACTTCAAAATGTTGTAACAAAAATTGGCCAAATATTAAATTTTGAAATAAATAGAACTACATAGAAAGTTGTTTCAAAGCTATTTCTGGCATTAGAAATTCTGGTTTTAAAGAACTTCTGTTCTTTTAAATTTGCTCTGTTTTTCTTAACACATAAATACTTAGTGGAAGCTGTTAAATGAATGTTCTTTTACCTGAAGTCCTCTTGCTTTTTCCTGCATTTTAATGGCTGTTAGACCGGTCTTTTTAGACTGTTTTGTTTTCTGTATGTTAAAATGGTTTCAAAATTTCTAAAATTTCAGTAGAATTTTTTGTATTTAAAAAATTTCAGCTTCACAAGGAGTAAAATATGCATGTTATAAGATTGTGTAAACAATGTTAGGATGCCATTAAATTGTTCACCTGAAATATCAAGTATGGGACTATTTATTGTTGCTTTAAATATTTGAACACAGACAGAAATCACCAACCAGCCTTCCTAGGGACCAGCAGAAGTGCAAGGATAGATTAGAACATCTATTTCAGTATTAATCCTTGATTAATCTTTGTCAGGATCTCTGGCTGGTCAGAGTGACCCTGAGAAAAGTTCCAAAGTCTCTTTTCCCAGCCTGGTGCTTGAAGAAGGAGTCAGGGCTCTTCATTTCTCAGTCTCAAGGATGTTTATTTTATCTTATCTATAAAATATATTCTCCTGCTTTGCCGAGGTCCCTCCAGCAGGACAGCCTGAGGCACTCTGTCTGCCCCCGGGGCGGTGTTATGTCTTTATACTAAAAACTACATATACAATGTTTACAATTACTTACCTATCACCTACATTAGACAGTGAGCTTCTACTCTAAACCAATCTGTAAGTGCCAACATCACAGCAGAAGATGGAGGCCAAGAAGAAGAAGGAGAAAGCTGGACACACCTAGTTCCCTCCATCTTGCCTCCTGAACCCCCATACCAAAAACCCTAAAATCTACTTTTCCATCCCATAATAACTTCACTAATATGCTACCTAAAATGTTGTGGCTTGCTGATCTTCATACCAGATTGGTAATTTGCTCCATGGGTCATAATCAAAACCACAGGGGCATTTTGGGCTCTGTGACAGGGTCTCTGAGCCCCCTGGCACGGGTCTTGGCTGCTCCAGACAGCCAGAGGGATGTCCTGGGTCCTGACAAATCTTGGTTTCACAACAATGACAAACCCTGCTTCAGAGCCTAGACATAACAAGAAAACTACAAGTACATCTTAATCCCCGAGCCCTGAGCCCCCTGCCCATCACTGGGGGCTCTGAGGGTTTCTCCCCCTGCCCCAGTGTAGGATTGATGGGGGTGGCACGGTCAGGACGGACGGAGATGAGAGATCACTGCAGCCAGGTCGTGGAACTTGGGGTTTAGTGCAAAGGGCCTGGGTGCAGGGCCCTGCTGGGATTTGGGGTTTATTGCAGAGGGCCTGGGTGCAGGGGCCCTGCTGGGATTTGGGGTTTATTGCAAAGGGCCCGGGTGCAGGGGTCCTGCTGGGATTTGGGGTTTATTGCAAAGGGCCTGGGTGCAGGGGTCCTGCTGGGATTTGGGGTTTATTGCAAAGGGCCTGGGTGCAGGGCCCTGCTTGGAGCTGCAGCCACAGCTCAGAGCAGGCCCAAGAGAAGAGAGGGGTAGAGAGGATGACAGGGTAAGAGAGTAAAAGCATAAGAGAGTAAAAGGGGTAAGAGCATCAAAGGCAAGAGCTGAGACAAGAGGTAAGAGCAAGAGTAAGAGAGGTAAGAGCTAAGAGAGCGAAGTTCCCGTTACAATACAATAAATCTTCTTCTGTGTTGAATATTCTGATTCTCACTTAAACAATCTAGTACAATATACAAATCCTATAGCATTTCCATACCGCCTATAAGAATCACTACATTACCATCCTGTGCTACATTTTAAACCCTAAAAACTCCTCTTTGGACCCCTACAGTAGGGGCTGCTCTGACCCTGGGACCTGCCTGCAAGCAGAAGGAATTGTTCCATCAAAAGGGGATTACTTTCAGTGGCCACACCGTTGTTTTCCCGTTGTTCAGTAACTAAGGGATCTCAAAGCTTGCTTTCATTTCAATCTCGCTTATAGTTTCCATATTCTCAAAATCTTTTGCCAGACAATCATATTTGTAAGGCTTTCCTGTTTCATCTCCCCCAACACCCCAGAGCCGGCGCTGCTGCGGCCGTGGGGCAGAGGGGGTGCGAAAGGGGGATCCGGCCTTGGAGCGGGAGGAAGGGGAGGGAGAGGGGAAGGGGAGGAGCAGGAACAGGAGCAGCACGGAGGGAGCAGCCCGAGGAGGAGCAGCAGCCGGGGAAGGAGCATTGCGGGGTTCCACGGCGAGCCCGCAGCTCGGCTGGGCCCGGCAGCATCGCATTGCCCCGCGTCCCGCAGGTGAGCGCCGAGGGGAAGCGGCAGCTCCGGGAGGGTTTTTGGGGGGGAGAGGGGGATTTTGCTGGGGTTTGGACCTTGCCGATTCCGGAGTTGTGAAAAGTGTATATTATATGGCTCTATGCAGATATTTACTGTGGGAATCCATAAAATCAGAGGGGTTTGGGAAAGCTGCAAGAGACAGCAGAACTGTGATTGGAGCTAAAGCAGCAGCCATGAGATTGGTCAGCAGAAAAATTATTTAAACTGTAGAAAAAGCAAAGGCAAATAGAACATTGGCCTGTGTATTAATGCTTGTCTGAATAGCTCTCTAAGCTGCAGAAAGTTTATCTAGCAAGATATTAGGAAGGTTAAAGCTTAAGAATGGAGCTCTGCATTGTGTTTTAAGGCTTACAAGCAGGTATTGTATTAGAAATAAACAAGGATTGTTTTAACCAAAGGTGCGTGTGCTTATGGTGTGTGAAAAACGCCAATCACTTGTTTTTAAAATTTTAAAAGTTTATAAGTAACAAAATGGTTCTTAAAATAGTAAGACATTTAGAGTAATAATAATTTGGACAATTTCAATTAGGACAATATGAGACAAGAAATACAAAGAGTTACGGATGTCCGGGTACCTTTTTCTGGGCAGCACGAGCCCAAAAAAGGACCCCGCTAACAGAGGATTAACCCTTAAAAACAATAGGCCATTGCATATTCATACACCTCATAGATGATGCATAAATTCCTTTCAAACACAGGATTCTGTCTGGTCATGGTCAACTTCTTCCTTCTAATCCTAACAGCCCCTTCGAGGCAGGAAGAAGTTCGTTTCTTCTGATAAGAAAGCAATAAATTCTCTTTCTCTGAAAAATTTAGGTGTCCTGTGGCTGCTATCCTGCTGCAAGCCCTTTCTTTAAAAAAGTATCCGACATAGCATTGTTTCTATTTTAACAATTTTTATAACCTAAAACTATATTTAACATGGTACTTAAGAGAATTAATACAGCATTACTTTCTAACACAACACATATAATATTCATTTGAATATTTGCGAAAAGCCAATCATAAAATGCATGCATTTTACACGTTTACCATATGTATTTTGATGTATTGATTAATAGTGCTGTATTAACATTTTAATAACAAATGTAGTCTTGTAATTAAAAGGTAACTCTTGTAGTTAAAATAAGAACTATGTTAGTGGGTTTTTTTTAAAGAAAGGAATGAGGCACTCGCACCAGATAGCAGCCACAGGACACCTAAATCTTTCAGAGAAAAGAATTTATTGCTCTCTTACCAGAAGAAATGGACTTCTCCCTGCCTCTAAGGCACTGTTAGGATTAGAAGGAAGAAGCTGACACTGACCAGCCAGAATCCTGCCTCGAAGGGGCTGTTAGGATTGGAAGGAAGAAGTTGATGGTGACCAGACAGAATCCTGTGTTTGAATGGAATTTATGCATCATGTATGAGGTGTATGAATATGCAACGTGCTATTGTTTTTAAGGGTTAATCCTTTGTTAGCGGGAGTCCTTTTCTGGGCTTGTGCTGCCCAGAAAAAGGTACCCGGATGTCCATAACTCTTTCTGCTTGTTGTATCGTATTGTCCTAATTCAAATTGTCCAAATTATTATTACTCAAGTTGTATTACTATTTTTATAATCATTTTATTACTATTAAACTTTTAAAATTTTAAAAAGAAGTGATTGGCGTTTTTCACAGGAGTCGAGTCCCAAATATGTTTCAGTGTCGCTGAGAGAGGTGTTTTTAATTCATTTGATGAGGGGATATTTTTGGATCTCTTAGGAGTGCAAAGGGGAGCAGGGGAAGCGCTGAGTGGCTGGAGTGGAGGGATGCTGGAGAAAGGGGACCCTGGAACACCTGATATAAAATTTCAATAGCCAATCCAAATTTTACTTCTATACCTTTTATTTTAATGCAAGCAAGCAGCGCTGGGTGGCCGGAGAGTCACTGCTCCACTCACAGCACACACAGTTTGGTAAAGTATATATACTGTTTTTAAGTATACAAAGCATTTTCCAATGTGCTTGGTTAGTCCAAATTAGCAAATATCAAAAAGCTGGGAGCACCAATTTCATAATCTTTCCAGGTGGTCATTGATTTCTATCCTTGTTGTGGTTGTCTGGAGGGAGGTCTTAGACTGATGTCTGCTACATGATTTTGTCAAGTGCATCAAGTTTCTTATTATACATAAGATTTTAATTGCTTTTTTGCAATATCTCTTTGCTTTACCCCAACTTCCTCTATTTTATTCTAAGCATCAGTTATCTTGCTACCTCATCTCTTTTGCTCTACTATACTTCTTTGATTTTGATGCTTTATTTGGCTATTTGGTCATAAAGTTTCAAAACTTTTCTTTGTGTCTCTTTTGGACACAGCGGATAGAAGGATTTGCTGATTCCATTGCCAATTGACATGAATCACAAAAACAATTTCCACAGAATCAGGGGAGGATGGGCTCTGAGACCTCCAAAACCCCCTCAGCATGCCTGAGCAGGACCTGGGAGAGGGGGGAATGCCCAAGACCCCCCAGAGCAGAGCTCTGAGAAGAGGGACCCACATAACCTCAAAGTCAGGACACTGGAAATGGGCAACTCCTAGAAGAGTGTTTTTGGAATTCCTGGTTTTTGGAGGTATTTCTGGCCACCAGACACCCGGTGACTTCTAGAGATGGACTTGGCCAGTGGGACCTTCAAAGCCAATGTCCTGGTTTAGGGCAGTTTTGGGAGAAAAACCTCTAAAGGTGTTTCCTGTAGAAGACCAAAGTCAAGCGGCCCCTCATCCAACTGATTCTGGAAAAGTATTTCCTTTGAGAGAAGTGGAAAAACCTGTTTATTTAACAGGCAAAGCACTCACCAACCCCAAAAATTAACAGTATTAAACAATAAAACTGCTTGCTGCTCCAAGAGATGACAAACTCACAAAGTCCCTCTGTGGGCTGTAGCTTGGCTTGCTCAGTCTCTTATCAGTCACTTATCAGTCTCTTATGAGTCTCTTATGAGTCTCTCTGGTGCTGGAAATGCCGTGGCCCAGCCCCGGTGGGGCACAGGTGTGAGCACCTGATGCTCTTCTGGGTGTTCAGTACAGAGCAGGTTTAGACAGGTCCAAAGAAAAGGAAAACCAAAAACCACAGTCCAGGGAACTTCTCTTCCTCTGCTAGCTAAAACTAACTAAAAGCAAAGGAGGGCTCTGTCCCGCTGTCTGTCCGTCCGCAGACAACAGAGGAGCCGGAATGTGGAGGAGTGAGAGAGGTTCTGAAAACAAACTCCATGCTTCTTCTTCCTCCATCTTTGTTCTCAGAACCAGCCTTAAAGGTGAAAAGCTTATTTCAGACAAATGGGGATATGAGCATCATAAATTTGCCCATTATCCCTGGGACCCACAGAAGACCCTCAGGCTGTGTAAGCAGGACCCAGGAGAGGGGGAATTCCCAGGACCCATGGGCCCCCCAGCAGCTCTGAGAATAGGGACCCCATAACCCCAAAGTGAGGACACTGGAAACAGGGAACTCCTGGGAGAGGTTTTTGGACTCCTTGATTTTGAAGATATTTCTGGCCATCCGGTGAATTCTAGAGATGGACTTGATCAGTGGGACCTTCGAAGGCAATGCACTCATATCTTGTTTTTTCCGCAAACCAGGATTTCCCATTCCCAAACCTTATCTGGATAGAGAAGAAGGCTGCGAGGAAGCCGAAGATGCCCCAGGACACCCAGGCAGGTGAGGAGGACATTGCTTCCCCTTTCCCCCTCTCTCCTGCTCCATCTCCCTGCCCAACATGGCCCCCGGCTGCAGGACTGATGCTGCTGATGGTGTCCAGCCAGGGATGCACTGGGGGGATCTCCTTCCCCTTCCCTGTGGCACAGATGCAAATCTCATCCTCTCCTTGTCCTTCCTCCCCCAGAGCAGGAGCTGAGGATGGAGACCAGGGAGGGCAAATCCCCATGGCAGAACATCGTGGCAGAGGCCACTTTGAGTGGCTACAGGGCACAGGAGTGCAATGGGGAGGAAAAGCCCTGGAGATCCCACAGGAGGAGGGGCTGCAAACCCAGCCCAGGATGCTCTGAGGAGGAAGGACCCAGCCTGTGCCAGGAAGGCAGGTGGAGCTCTGGCCAGAGCTCTGAGGTGGTGGTCTATGAGCAGCTTGATGATGGCAAGAAGCCCCACCAGTGCTTGGAATGTGGGAAGAGTTTCCCCACGAGCTACCACCTGATCATCCACTAGAGGATGCACACCGGGGAACGGCCCCATGAGTGTGGGGAATGTGGGAAGAGCTTCAGGTTCAGCTCCCACCTGATCATCCACCAGAGGATCCACACCAATGAACGGCCCTATCAGTGTGGGGAATGTGGGAAGAGCTTCAGGTTCAGCTCCCACCTGATCATCCACCAGAGGATTGAAGCCCCTAAACGGGTAGCCTTCAAGAAATAATGAGTTAAAACATGGCATGTGAAACATTTGAAGAAAGCTTAGCACTTAGGAAACATATAGGGCAATAAATCGGCTAAGGCATGGAACACCGTGACAGGAAAGAGAGATAGGGATAGGGGAACTGATGGGCTAAGCGTGTTCAGAGCCAACTAACCCTAATAACCTTGCCAAGCCATGGGACCAAGCCAAATACACCGGGAATTGGCCATATTTGGATAGGAGTTCAAAAGTTTAAGGAGGAAGACTCATCAGGTGACCCCTGTCCATGATGAAGGCAACCGGAACGACCACCGAAATGATCCTCAAAAGAGATGTTTCCGCCCACGCTCCGCCTACACCACGCCTCTTATGAATATGTATGCAAAAACATGATTATGCATGTGATATGATGTAACTTCATAATCAAAACTGTATAAAAGGCTTGCTTTTGTTACGAGATACTTAGAAATCCCTTTGTGATTTCTCCGACGCGTTGTAAAAAAATCCCTCCTGTCTATGCTGACTTAAATTGAGTCTCTTAGGCAGTTATTCTCGCCTTTTGGGGCAAAATTCGGCATCAGGATCCACACCAATGAACGGCCCTATCAATGTGGAGAATGTGGGAAAGGCGTCAGGAGGAGCTCCAGCCTGAAACTCCACCAGATGATCCACACTGGGGTACGACCCTTTGTGTGTGGAGAATGTGGGAAGGGCTTCCGTGACAGCTCTCGCCTGATCATCCACCAGACAGTGTACACTGGGGAATGCCCCTACACGTGCTCAGTGTGTGGGAAGAGCTTCATCGAGAACTCCAGCCTGATTATGCACCAGAGGATCCACACTGGGGAGAGGCCCTACAAGTGCAGGGAATGTGGGAAAAGCTTTAGGCAGAGCTGCCATCTGAATGCCCACCAGAGGATCCACACTGGGGAGAGGCCCTACAAGTGCAGGGAATGTGGGAAAAGCTTCAGAAGGAGCAGTGGGCTGATTCTGTACCAGAGGATCCACTCCAGGGAGAGGCCTTACAAGTGTGGAGAATGTGGGAAGAGCTTCGGCTAGAACTCCAGCCTGATTGCCCACCAGAGGATCTGCGCTGGGGACAGGCCCTATGAGTGTTCTGAGTGTGGGGAGAGGTTTTTCAGAGCCAATACTGTCTCCTCAAGCATCAGCAGATTCACACAGAATAGAGGCCCTTCTGCTGCCCTGACTGCAGGAAGGGCTTGAAGAAAAACTCCACCTTTGTCACCCACCAGCAGATCCACACTGGGGAGAGGCCCTGACAGTGTCCTAAGTGTGGGAAGAGCTTCTCCCAGAACTCTGCTGTGACCCAACACCAAGGGAGGCAGCAGTAAGGGATGCCCTACAAGTGCCCTGTGTGCAGGAAGAGTGTGGCCTTGATTTTTTATGATTTTCTAAGCCTTCTGATGTTTACATTCTTGTAGCAAACTTTCTCACACACTTTCTGTAAATAACTTATTGTTTTGCATTCTTTTTTGGAAGAAAAATTTGATGGACTGTTGGTTTGTCCAGTGTCATTGGAGAGGTGGCACTTTCACCCTCCAATCCAGTCACTTTTAGAAAACTCTAAATGTTGGAGTCAGAAAATAAACTTCCCTTTTCTCCCCCTTGAGAGCAGCAGTGTGTGCGCTCGTGTTGTTTTGTGTCCTACAGTGACAGGAAGAGCTTTGAGCGCTGCTTCAACTCCATCCCCCGTTGGGGACCCCCACTGGATGGTCCACAGTGACCCTCGCTGGGCAGAGACTTGGTCATCCATGGTCCTGGTGATCCATGTTGGGAAGACACCTGGCTGGTGGTCTCCACATCTTCCTGGCTTCCCTTGGGCACTTGGACACAGCCAGAGAAAAATCCATTGGGATGCAAACTGACATCAGAATTTCATAGGGGACAGGACATTTTTTTTACTTTTGACACCAAAAAGTCTGACCTTTGGCATCCAATCATTGCTTCGGGTGGCATCCAGGAATTCCAAATGGTGTTGGAGGTCTTTTCCAACCTGAATCATTCCATGATTCTAATTCTCTCTGGCCCACCAGCATCTTCCACAGCCAAATGGTGATGGACTGGGGCAAAAAACCAGGATTTTGGAGACAATGGAGTGGAAATCCCTCTTTTAAAACAGGTCATTTCTACCCACCCAAGCACATGGATCCTCGGCCAGCATGGACACATAAATGCTTTTATTTTGGCCTTTATTTTCTCTCATTTTTCTTTGCCCTTCACCCAACATTGGGGTAAATATAAAGACATTTAAATATCACACGGATGGTGACATTGTGGGACATGGGTGGGGACATGTTGGGGATGGGGATGGGGACAAGGACATGGGTGTGAACATGGCTGTGGATGGCGATATTGGGCATGGGGGGGTGTCACAGATAGAGATGGCGACATGGGGCTCTATGGCCATGGATGAGGACATGGGGGACATGGCCATGGATGGCGACACAAGTGGCCTAGGGGACAAGTCCATGGGTTGACATGTCCATGCCATGAGGTGTCCCATGGCCAAGGACAACATATCCCCACCACCACCATGATACTGTCCCTTTCATGCTACCATTTGTTCCCTGCTCTTCCCCTGGCTGTGACACCCGCCTTGTGGGATGTCCCCATGTCCTGGTGACCCGTGTCACTCAGGCCACTCCCGCCAGTGGCTCCAGCAGCAGCCAGAGCCCATCGTTGGCACGCAGGATCAGCTCGGGCTGGCGGCGCGGGGGTGACCTCACGTTGTCCCTCCGCAGCACCAACTGGGACGGTGTCAATGCCACTACCACCTTCATCTCAGCCATGGCAAAGCTCTGCCTGATGCAGTTCCTGCCACCACGTCCCCACTGTCACTGTCATCCCACTGTGAACCCAGCCAGGGACAGGGGTGGCACTTGGGGACACTCCTGTCCCCACTCCAGCACATACCTGGGGCCAGAAGAGAATGGGATGAAGGACGGCGGGGACTGTCCCTTACTGTTCTCCGGACAGCCTCAGAGGATTGAACACCTGGGGTGACACCGACACAGTCACACTGAGGGGACACAGCTGTCACCACTGTGGTGGCAGAGACACATGGAGGCCTTGAGAAAAGTTAATAACAAGTCAATAACAGGATGAGAAAAACAAGTATTAGTCTCAACAAGAAAACCACAGGTATTGGCAACAAAGAGGGGTTGGTGTGTAATCTACAACCAATGATGAGCTCGGGTTTTGTAATATGTATAAGCTTAATTAACACCACTATAAAAGAGTGTAAGCTAGATCAATAAATTGGAGTTCGATGCTGATCAATTAGGATGTGGTCGACTCCCTACGCTTCCTCAAATGGTGACACCCGATTGTGATACAGCAACGCACCACGGAGGAGTGAAGACACGCTCAGGTCCTGAGAAGCAGCCGGGACGGCAGAAAATGCGGAGAACGGAAAAAAAAAGCGGATAAAAAAGAAGCTGAGACGCCTTGTGCCTCGGGTGTCGTACAGGCGAGCCCGACTGATACGTGCTGCACGGACCTTGAAGAGGCTGCAACAGCGCTGACGATTTTAGGTATGAAAAGGCAAGCAGCATATGATTTATTTACTGCCTTTTTACAAAAAAGGCAGGTTAAGGGGATAGATTTGCAAAAGGATTTACCAGGGCTTTTGGCTTATGGCTACGATAGGGGAATTTTTATTAAGCCCCATACAGTTCACGAGTTAACGGAGTGGCGTAAATTCCGTGATTTATTATGGGAGGCTACTTTAGAGGGCGATAAAACTGCCAAGAAGTTAGGTAAATTATGGTGGGTCGTTCGCAATGAATTACTGCAGTTTCAGGCTGAGAAAGAGGCTGCCCAGCAGGCTAGCGCTGCTCATGGGTGTAATAAAGATTACGACCAGGACAGGGGATACGATCAGGATAGGGGATTACCAGTAGCCCCTGCAATGAGGACGGTCTTATTACCTGCTTCGCTGCCCTCTTCTGCTTTAAGCCAGGCTACACAGAGCGCTTCTGAGGCTTCCACACTCCCTGAACAACACGAACTATGGCCAAGATCACCCGATAATCTCCCAAAAATCAATGAGCTGATCCCTGGGGCGGAAAATGACCTAGCAGGGTCTATTGCAAGGGAGCGGAGATTGGCCTGGGCTGCGCTTGCCAGAGACGCTATTAAAAAGGGGGATGGGGAGCTTATCAGCGCTGCTACCCAGCTGGCTTGTCCTGTTGTATTCAATCCGCAAGAGGGAGGGGGCATGCAGGCTACTATTACAGCTCTTGAGTGGAAATTGCTGTCTCAGCTGAGGTCTACTGTTAGTCAGTTTGGAGTGAAAAGTGAGCCAGCCAAACAGATGTTAGATTATATTTTTGATGCCAGTCTTCTTCTTTTGGTGAATGATTGTCATGAGATAGATAAATTGATCTTTACTCAGCCTCAGCAATTGTTATTCAATGCTCATTGGCAAGGGCTTGTAAATGAATGCATAGCACAGTTAGGGCTAGGCTTACAAGAACAGGCAAAGACCTCTCAAAATCAGGTGTTAGCTGCTCTTGGACCTCTTCAAACGTCAGCAGCACTGCCTTCAACGCCTAGTTGGTGCCAGAACCGCAGTGACCACGCACCAACAGAAGTCGTCACTGCAGCGTCAGCACCCTCTCCTGTCTCCAACCCGACACCACAGGGAGCCTCGGCTTGGAACCGGCAGCCGCCGTAGAAGTTATGCTGATGACCCTGCACCCACGGAAGATCCCGACAGGGATTCACGGACCTATTGTTATACAGGGTCACGCGGTGGGTGCTTTGCTTTTCGGAAGATCATCTGCGTTGGGATTATTTGTT